AGAAGGCACATTCCTCTGCAGTCCTCCTCGCAAACACCCACAACCCCAGGCTGACTGTGAGAAGACACCCAACAAATCCCAACGGAGGGGCATCCTGCAAAACATCTCCCAATCCTCCTCAGAACCATTCCATGTCATCAAAAGCAAGGAGAGCCTAAGAAACCGTCACAGCCAAGAGGAGCCCAGGGAGATAGACCAACTGATGTCACGTGGGATCCTGGATGGGGTCAGAAAAAGGACGTTAGGGAAAACTGAGGAAATCTGGATCAAATGTGGACTTTAATGTGTCAGTATTGACTTGTCAGTGATAATAATTGCACCATACTGATATAAGAGGTTGAAAGTAGTGGACTGGGTGTGGGGTCTCTGGGGATTCTGCACTATCTTCTCAGCTTTTCTGTAAATCTGACCTGTTCTAAAACTGAATTGTGTCAGTGATAATAATTGCACCATACTGATATAAGAGGTTGAAAGTAGTGGACTGGGTGTGGGGTCTTTGGGGATTCTGCACTATCTTCTCAGCTTTTCTGTAAATCTGACCTGTTCTAAAACTGAATTGAGAATAATGTAACCTCACTCAGCAAACATGTGGCTGTGGTGTCTTGCCCCATCCTGACTGTGACCAACCTTCTCTGTGTCTGCCCTGCTCTCTGCTGCTGTGCTCTCTGCTCCTCAGGGCCTGGCATTGCCCTGAGGGAGGTGCTTTGGCTGTTCATCTTCCAGGGTGGTAGGGCCAGGCCACACGGGCACCTGCCTGCCACAGACCCTGTGCAGCAGCCCCACCTGGAGACTGCAGAGTCCTCGCCAGGTGTGCAGCTCTTCCCAGGCGGGCCCACTGTGGGTCATCTGTTCCAGGCTTCCAACTGCCCCAGCACCTCCCTCCCCCAGCAGGGATACCTGTGCCTATGCACTTTCTCTAGTGCACATATATGTGCATGTGGACACCAGGCAGCACCTGTGCATACCAGGATGGTCACACAAGCCGCAGAGCTGCTATGGTTCTCATGAGACCTGCCGGGCCATGCCATAGGCTTCAGGGACCCTGTGCACCCCTCACCTTGCTCGGAGCCGCAGCTCTGGATGCCTCCTCCCTCCCTCATCCCACGTGCTACCCCGTGCCTTGTCCCGACTGTCCGCCATCCCCAGCATCTCCCCGTCACCTGGCCTGCAGCTTCTGTTCTCTGGCAGCCGGAGTGTGTCTAAAACACCTCCCTTCTAGCCCCTGCCTGCCAAGGCAGCAGACTCCCTTCTCCAGGCTGCTGCAGCTGCGGCCTTCTCCATCCCCGCCCTGTCTTGACCCTGGGACTTGCTGAGCCTCCTCTGGCCTGGAGCGTGGCCCTCCCCATTGGTCCCTCTTCGCCACTTGAGCATCCCACTGGCTCCTGTCTCCCCGCTGTTGGTGGTCAGGCCATGGCAGGCAGGTAGTCATGAGTGCGGTACCTGAGCTCCTGAGGTGCCTCAGGGCCATGGGGACACTGCTGCCAAGGCAGGGCAAGCCTCCTGAATGTGTGGGCACATGTGTCTAGTCTGGTCCCACCTTCCTAGACTCCCAGGCCGAGTGTTCTGCAGACATGAGTTCTGCCCTGCTCTTGTTGCCGCAGGGCTGGCCTGGTGGGGAAATTGAGGCCAGGGAGCCAGCCGGGGGAATCCTTCTCTGCTTGCTGTTGGTCCTGTAGAGTGTATGAGCTGGGTCAGTTTGTGCCACTTCCTGTCAGTGCTTGTGCACAGCTGTGAGACTGACCGTAGTACTTGTGGCACGTGGTGTCGCTGGGACTGCGAGCCTCCCCTGCCTCCAGCTGCTGCTTCCCTGATGGCTCAGTACACCCCACATACACCCAGTGCTGTGGGACCCCATCCTCACCTGCCAGGCTTTATGCAAGCGGAGGCGCTCTCAATCAACAGGAAGCACAGGAGATGCACCTCCCATACAGTCCGTGGTGACTGCCCACCAGCCATAAAGAAGGCCACGGCCACGTGGCTCTTGTGCCCCTGTGAGAAGGTGCCAGACACGTCTGTTGTGTCAGGCTCTGTGCTGTCTGCAGCCCCGACTGGCAGGCCCACTGCTGCAGGACCAGCCTATGCCCGGCTCTGGCCCAGTGCTCTTCGCTGCCCCAGAAGCCAGGCAGCTCTGTCTTTCCAAGGCTGTCCAGTTGGAGACCCACCTCAAGTGCCATCAGCCTGTATCCATACCCTGCAGGGGCATAGAACTGGCCTGTCTGTCCCCAGCCCCAGTGTTCTCGCTGGGGGGCTCTGCCTCCTGGTTTCTTGGCTCTGCTGGCCTGGGTGGTGGAGGGGGTGGGGCCCATAGCTTGGGAGCTTGTTGGCAGAGCTGCTACCTGCTCCCAGAAGGGCTTTTCCTGTGGGTGGGGCAGGACTGCTCTGTGGGGTCCTAACCGCAGGCTAGGGATGGCCCTGTCCCCTCCCTTCCGGTCTTACTGCAGGCCGTGGCCACGCCCCCACCAGCCCATGCCACTTTGAAAAGGCTGATTCAGACACTCCCTTATTTAACCAGCCTTGCCGCCTCTGCCTCTGTGGGGAACAGCTGTTCGTCTCCTGGTGCCCCTACTGGCCAGGGGCAGGGTGGAGGGCAGTGGAGGGAGGCAGGCATTTCCAGCGGGAGGGGAGCAGAGTGCCACAGCCCCCACTCTACCTCCCCACTCCTCCCTCCTCGACATCATGCTTGGAGATCAGTGCGGTCTCCACGTAGACCGAGCTCTGCTCAGCCAGTCCCCCAAAACTGGACTCCGCTGCAGAATGGTGCTTCAGACAGTCAGCAGCGTGCTCAGGTAACACCTCCTACCTGCACACGGGGGATGATGAGGGGTTGTCTGACCTGTCCATGCCCAGGGGGTCAGTGTGGGGGGCTGTTGATGCTGCCCTGGGCTGGGTCCGCTGGGGCCTGCAGTTTCCTCTGCACTGGCCTGGCCAGATGGGTTTGGTCTGGAACTTTGCCGAGTGAGGTTTTCCTTGATCACTTTCACTTCTACTGCGCTCTTGGGGGGACCATCTCCTCAAACCACAGGAGGAGAGCATGGCCTAATGGGTGGGTCTGGGCGACTGTCTTCTCCTCTCTGGGCTCACTGCATCTGCCTGTACAGGCATCCTGCCTTGCCCCTTGGGGCCTGCTGGATGCTGGGTGCCCCACACCACCAGCAGGCGTCTGGCCTGTTGCTGTGGCTGGTGGCTGTTTGTCCCTCGGGCAGGGCCTCCGGTGTCTGAGGCAGGGCTGATTCAGAGCCTGTCTTCAAGTGTCCTCCTCCAGAGAAGTGGCATGGGGCACCTGTGAGCCTGGCTGCAGGCTGGCTGCTGAAGGGGATATTGCCTGAAAAGCCGTTCCTGACGGTTTTCCTCACCTGCTCCTTCTCTGACCTGCTGCGGGGGTGCCCTTCCCCACATGTGAGCCTGGCTGCAGGCTGGCTGCTGAAGGGGATATTGCCTGAAAAGCCATTCCTGACGGTTTTCCTCACCTGCTCCTTCTCTGACCTGCTGCGGGGGTGCCCTTCCCCACACTGCCTAGCCTGTTGTGTGTATGTGTGTACATGTGCATTAACGTGCCAGTGTGTGTGCGTGGGGACTGGGGGCAGGGACATACTTGGTGAGCTGCAGGCGGGCCTCACCCTTGCCAAGGGGCAGCACAGCTCACCTGGCGGCGGGGCTCCCTTACGGGTTGCACTCCTCAGCTGTGACTTGGATTCAGGGAGCCCTCCCATGTTGTCACTCAGCATGTGTCATGTCTTGGAGTCAAATCCATTTTCCTTCAGTGTGCTTGCATGTCATATAGTGGGTTGTGAATTTTAAAACAAAAATAAACAGCTCTTACTTTTCCAATACTACTTTTAATTGTGAGCATATAAGCAGGGCTCCTGGTGAGGGTTGAGGTGAGCCCAGCCTGCTGCTGGTGTTGGCATGCATGTGTCTCTGTGCCTCTGAGTGTCTCTGGCACCTCCGGCTCCATCTTTCTCTTCTGTAGGATTGTCCCACAGCACAGTCCCCTGTGCATCACAACAGCAAGGACTTTACAGTGAGTTGCAAGTAGAAACAGTGTCACCTGCTTAGCCTGCCAAAGTTCTCCTTCTTTAATGTGAAGGTGTGAGGTTTGGGAAGGTTTGGGTGAGTTGTTGGAATTGGTTAAAATCAGGAACAGTGACGACATCAGTGGTGTACAGAAGAATGTGCTTGCAAGTGTGTGCATGGGTGTGTGCACCTGTGTGTGTGTGTGTAGGTATGTACGTGTGGTGGGAGAGAGCCAGACACTGACCCGTGCTCCAGGGGCCCACCAGAGCGGCCTGGGTTAAAGAAGTCCCGGCCGCGCCCTGTGGAAGGACCAAGAGGCAGAGGCTAACTTAGGGGACATCTCTGGGGAAGGGGACCTTTCAGCCAGGCGTTAAAGGAGCAGCCTCCCTGACAGGTAGAGGTGGAAAGTACATGTGCTGTGAGCAGAGCGGATGCACCGTGGTGGAAATTCTAGGCTAGCCTGCGGCACCCGACTTGCATGGATGCTTGGGTCTAGGGTGTCTGTGCACCTTTCTCCTGCCATCTTGGCTTTCTCTATCTAAATGGTTCTCTTGCTTTGCAGAGGACACAGTAGGCTGGTGGAAGTGCACTTTGTCCGGGGTGCTGACCTGTCTGGAGGGGCCAGACAGTTAGACTAAGAAGAGAACAAGTCATTCGTCCCTCTCCCCAGCTCCTGGCCATCTGAAGCCCATGGGCGGAACAGGCAGTGCTGAGGGATTGGACGGGGTCCTGTGGGTGCTCTACAGTGGGAAGGGGTGTTAGGACACTGTGAGAACACCGTGCAGGCAGCAGCAAGCTCTCCCGGGCACGTCTTCGCCCTTGCTGTTGGGGTAACAGACCTCTTCTGAGCTCTGTGCTTGGGTTGTCACTGGGAAAGCCTTGTGTCCCCTACGAGCCTTGACTTTGGGTAGACCCACTGGCATCGACACCTGTGCCTCGCCTGTCTGCCTGTGCCCTTCTCCCAGGAGAGCCTTAGCTGTCTCAGCATCTGTAACTGTCGGAGGCTTGGGAAGGCAGGGCTGGGCTCTGGAATGGGACCAGGGGCAGGAGGGCAGGGCCAGGACTGCCTGCTCAGAGTCCTGGTCCCCAGAAAGGTGCCCCACTGCCTTTCTCCCCGCTCCTGGCACCTCCTTGTGTATGTGCCTGCCAAACGGGGCCTGGCCTCACAGCCCACCTGTCATGTGGGAGCAGCACGTGGGCCTTTGTTCGGAGTCTCTCTGCATGTGCTCTTCCTCCCAGGAGGCACAGCAGCCCTGTGGGTGGCTCAGCCTGGGCTCCACTCCCTGGTCCCTTCAGTGCAGCCTCTGTCCTGCCTGCAGCCAAAGCCCCGCACCCACAGTCCCGGGACTTGTGCATCCTGCTGCACCTGTGGGGGTCACAGCCCCCAGTGCGCAGAGAGCTGGGAGGAGGATGTGGTGATCCTCTGGTCTCAGGAGAGGTGTGCACACCTGGTCATGGGGCAGCCTGGCCACTGAGGCCATGGCTGGGGTGAACTTCTGGGCCTTGGCATGACAGAGCCTGCTTCGGAGCCTGTGAACCTGTGGAGGGCACAGAGTTCTTGTCTCCCTCCCGGGAGAGTGGCCATGAGCGGCAGGGATGGGCAGCACAGCAGTATCCTGTTTTGAGGTCCCAGTCAGCTCTCCCTGGCCTCGGGTTGGAGCTGAGGCTGGTCAGGGCAACTTCTGCTCAGAGAAGTCTCAGCCTCAACCGGGAGAGCCTCTCTTTCTGGGAAGCAGGAAACTTGGTGTTGGGGAGACTCAAGTGCAGCTGGATGCTGCCCAGGTCCTCCTAGAGCAGAGGCCAGGCCATGTGTTTCCCTCCACCCTGCTGCCTCAGGCCAGTGCCCCTTGTCCTACCCCGTGGGAATGAGAGAAGGCCCTGGGATCATGAACACCTGCCTGTTTGTTCTAGAAGGGCAGGTGTAGAGCGGAGGAGGTAGGAGGCTGAGGCAGGGGCCTGGTGTGTCTGCCACTGTTGCCTTCTGCTGGCAGCCCAGAGCCCGCAAGGCCCTTCTCATAGGGAGCCCAGGTTCTCCAGCTGCTGCCCTATGCTGGTCCTCTCTGAGAACCAGAGATGGAAGGTGCCTTCATCCCTGCAAGGCTCACGGGCTCTGCTGGAAACGGACATGCTGGTGTAAGGGCAGGACACCGTTGACCGGGCAGCCTCCCCAAGCGGGCCCAGCGTGAAACCTCAGAGCCATGATGTGCTGTTTCCTACTGCCAGCTCTGCATGGTCATCTGTGTAACCACCACCTGTATGTCACCAGGTGACAAAAGGTCCCCACTGCAACTGCCCCTCCAGGTGGGGAGGCCGAGCCCGGTGCGTGTGCTTGGCTCAGGTGGAGCTTGGGAACCTGTGGGAAGAGCTCAGGCCAGGAGGTGTGGGGGTCAGCCAGGCTCCCCTTCCTGTTCCCACTGCTCCCTGGCCTGCAGACTCCAGGCTCTGTGTTCCCAGAGTGTTCGCGTCGGGAGCCCCAGGGCTGGGTGGCCCTGCCTTGTCCCTGCCTGGTTCTGGCCATTCCTGCCACTGCCAGCCAGGCTCCCCTTCCTGTTCCCACTGCTCCCTGGCCTGCAGACTCCAGGCTCTGTGTTCCCAGAGTGTTCGCGTCAGGAGCCCCAGGGCTGGGTGGCCCTGCCTTGTCCCTGCCTGGTTCTGGCCATTCCTGCCACTGCCCTGGAAGCCGAGCACACGCGTCGCCTTTTAAGGCGAAGATCTGCTGTGAGAAGCTGAAAGGAAAGCATTTCCCTGGCGTTCAGGGAGCATTTTTCCTTCCTCTTTCTCTTAAATAAACCATTAGCAACTTTTCAAAACAGAAGAAAGGAAAAAAACAAGGACAAGGTCAGGGAGCTGCGACGACCTCCCCAGCCCTAGGCCTTCCCAGGACTGGTAGAGGACAGGCACACGCAGAGCACAGGCCAGGCTGCCTCGCTGCCCCATGTCCCCTGGTTGGCCAGGAGGTGGTGCCCAGCTCGTGACCTGGCCAGTGCCCTGCACAAAGCTTGCAGTGCTCTCTCGTCTGGGCAGCCGGGGCAGTGACAGGCTTGAAAGCAGCCAGAAGTGGGGTTTGCTTCCCCTTTCCTTCCAGGGCACTGAGACCTGGAGGGGTGCTCTGGGGCCCAAGCCCGGCCTTGGCCTGACCTCCCTCTGTGCGGGAGGACCATGCCCTTAGCACCAGCTGTGCTTCTGTGGCAGAGCTGAGCCCTGCTGCCCCCTGCCCCCATGGAGCAGGGTGAAGCCCCTCCTGGAACCCATGCAGACCCTGCTCAGGCAAGCGCCTCTTGGCCTGGCCTCATCCTTCCCTCGGGAGCTGGTGTGTGCACTTCCCTGAACAGCCTCCAGCCCTCTGAGTGGACACTGTGCTCCTTGGGGGGAGGGCGGGGGGTGAATTGTGTGCCGGCCCTTGGTTTCCCCTGTCCAGTAGCAGGGGGGGATCTGGCCACAGCCATGGCACCTCCTTGAGAGTTTATAACCAGAGATGGCCTTTTCTGGTCAATAGGACTTTCGTGATAATACTGATTTACAGCTTTTTAAAAAATCATGTTTACCATTAAAGAATTCGATTGTTCAAATATGAACAAGAGACTAATCTGTGCTATTAGGAATATTCGCCTTCAGTTCATCAAACTTCTCCCCCAGGAGCCCAGTTCTAAAGCATAAAATGTCAGAGAGAATCCTGTGCAGGTGCTAGAGGACGGCAGTTCGGCCCTCACCAGCGTCCCTGTGAGGCCCAGAGGTCAGCAGGAGGCTCCCAAGCATCCCAGCCCTTCACACTGGGTGGCCATTGCTGTGAAGGGCCGTGGCTGCTGGCTGTGGCTACGTCCAAGGACCCACGGGCCCTTTGCGTGACTGGACCCTCCTGGAGGACTCACCATGGATGCTTCTAACTGCTTTGACCCTCGGCACGTATGTGTGTGCCTCAGGCTTTGTGTGTGACAGAGACAGTGATTTTATCAGATGAGCCCCTCGGTGCCTGGTTGTCCTCTGAGAGCTCCGGCCAGGTGTCCCCAGGCCCACGGTCCACTCGGGCAGCTTTCCTCTCGTTTGCCTACGTAGTCGCTTGTTCATGGAGGAGTCGGGGAGGCCACAGCCCTTGGGCACGGTGACTGGGAGGCCCGCCTGCCCTCGTCGTCTTGGGGCCACAGAGCTGCCTCCTGTTTTGTGGGTCTTAAGCTGCCACTATTTACTCTTATTCATCCATTTAAAAATAGCCATGACGAGCCTGCTGTATGTTAACAGAGCCGCATATTTTTAATGAAAAAACTGTTTTCTAAAATAAGAAGAAAGTTTAGTGAGGAGAGGGGCAGCTTCTGTGTGTCTCTGTGGAGCCCATCTCTGCGGAGGATGGCCAGGTTTCCGTGCCTCTCTGTCTGTCGAGGGTGAACCTCATGGAGCGTGCTGAGGCCTGGTGGTGACAAGAGGGTGTTAACCCCTTTCCTGCTCTTTGATAACCTGTGTGACAACTGCCTGGGGGTGGGATGAGCCTCAGCTCGGGATGGTATACGTGAGCACTGAGTGTGGGGGCCGCAGGACAGGCCTGCCACATGGTGGTAGCCTCTGCCCAGAGGCTATTAGGAGAACAGCTTCTTGGTGGAGGCTCACGCTCTGGACCTCAAGAGTCCTCAGCAGTGCCCATCCTGCTGTCTTACCTGGTGGTTCTGCTTTGGGAGTGCAGGCCTGAGACCAGGCCAAGATGGCTGCAGGGTTGCAGTCCCATGGGGGTGGGGGAGGATGGGCTGTTGTCCTAGTGTGGCCACCACCCATATGTCCTGGGCTCTAGGCTCAAGCCAGCCAGGTGCCCAATGTCTCTGCGTTGTCCTGGGCTCCCACTGGCAGGATAGCTCAGCAGGTTAGGCTGTAGCCCCTGATGGTGTGGGGGAGGGGAGGGCACTGTGCACGACGGGACAGGATTCCCTTGACGGTCTTGGGTGGCCCTCTCCATGCGCCTGTATTTGCTGTGAGACCCCACGGGCAGGGCCACCCTCGAAACCTGGTGTGGTCTGGGTGTGGCTGGGAATGCGCTGACCACCCTGTCCCTTCTCTCTCGGCAGGAAGTCTAAAGCGAAGCCCAATGGCAAGAAGCCTGCTGCGGAGGAGAAGAAGATGTACTTGGAGCCAGAGCACACCAAGTCTAGGATCACTGACTTTGAATTCAAGGAGCTGGTGGTGCTGCCCCGGGAGATTGACCTCAACGAGTGGCTGGCTAGCAACAGTGCGTGTGGGCCGGGGATGGGCGGCAGCAGAGGGGGTGGGCGGCCCAGCCCCGGGGTTCTCACATCTGGCTCTTTCTACTCTTCCAGCAACGACGTTTTTCCACCATATCAACCTGCAGTATAGCACAATCTCAGAGTTCTGCACGGGGGAGACGTGCCAGACGATGGCTGTGTGTAACATGTGAGTAGCTGCAGGGGTGGGCTGTGATGTCATGGCCCCCACTGCCTGGCCCTCATCTTCTGAGACTCCACTGTCACCTGAAGTCCCTGAGGAAGGATGTCCTGGCCTCACGGTGCCCGCTAGGGTGGCGGAGGCTGACAGGCTACAGTCTTGGGGCAGGGCTGTTTCCAGAGGGTGTGCCCAGGCTGGGTCTCCGAGAGGATGGAGGCCTGTGCAGGGGACGTGCTCTGTACCGGCTCCCCTCAGGGCTCTGGGTGTGCCTTGGGGAGGGGATGGTGGGAGGTGGGGTGGGCGGCCACCGGCTACCCTCTGTCTTGGCTCATTTTGTGGGGGGCTGTGATGCCATCTCAGTAACTCCTGACAGCCTGGTTCCTGCAGTTCTGTTCTGGAAGCCCAAGCACTTTTGTTTCCTTAGGAAGTGGGTGTTCCTGAGGGGTGCCGGGGCACCTCTCTTGTTTTGTATGGTGTGAGAGCTGTTGGGTGGCATGGGTTGCCACTGGCTCTGAGTTAATGGTGGGAGTGTCCAAGGTTGGCCATAGGGCAGGGTGCAGCCTGAGGTGGGTGTGGCTGGGGAGGGATGGAAGATCCCTCTCTGATGTCTCCTTGTCATCAGAGCAGGGGCAGATATGACTGTGTGTGCACATACACCTGTGTACACCTTCCTGAGCGTCATCGTGACCACAGACTTGGTCTCTCCTGGCATAAGGAGAAGTGGGCCCCTGACGAAGCTGAGCTCTGCTCCCGGGAACCCATCAGAGGTGTCAGCATGGACAGCTGGCAGGTGTCCCCCTGGGTGTCAGCCTTGCTGGGCCTGCTTTTGTGGCCTTGGTGGGTAACGGCCCTGAGGGGTCACAGCTTGGTTCTGGGTGATGTGGGTCAAGTGCAGATGACAACTGTCTCTCCACTCATCATTCACCAGGAAGATGAGGTGTTATAGCCAGGCACAGCCTGGGGAGGTGGGGCAGTGCTGTGCGGCTCTCCGGGAGCAAGCTTGACGTGCGATGGAGCTGGTGTCTGGGAGCAGGACGAGCGACGGGTCCTAAGGGTGGTTAGGGCAGCGCTGGAGAGTGGCGTGTCCCACACGGCTCAGGAGGGGGCTTGCTGGCTCAGTGGTGTCCAAGGTGCCCCGTGGAGCAGGTAGGCAGGTCATGGCCCCTGTAGTCCCCAGTGCTCCACTCCTACTTGCCCTTCAGTACTGGGTTTGTTTCAGTAATGGTGCCTTGGAGAGCGTGGGGTTTGGTGTTGGTCACACATTGCTCTCCACGTGGCACCTGGTGAGCTGGGGTCACTTAGCCTCCCCTGTTGGCTCTTCTCATCTGTAGCCCACTTTACGAGGTTGTGGTAGGTGTGCGTGAGTTAATTTCGCATATGATGCCTTCCTAGGAATCATTTGAGACCAAGGAGGAGACATGCACTCATACCAGTTTGAGAGAAACAGAGAGGTCTGTGGGGGTCCAGAGGTCCACTTGCCATCCCCAAACCAGCACGTCTGTGGGGTCCTGTGAAGGCTGAGGCCCAGGTGTGGGCACATCTCTGTCCTGCTGGTGCCTGTGAGGCAATCCCAAGACCCCAGAGGGAGAGGAGGAGATTGGGGCTGAAAACACATTTGCAGAGATGATGGCTGAAAACTTCCCCCAGCCACAAACCTACAGATTCTAGAAGCTGAGTGAACCCCAAATAGGATTAACCTGAAGAAATGTGCACAGATGCGTGGTGATCAGAAGCAGAGAAAGAGCCTTGGCAGTAGCCAGGACACTGACCTGAGTGGCCACGGCTCTGGTCAGGACCTGGGGGGCCGGGAGCTAGTGCCACAGCATCATAAAGTGCCAGAAGAAAAGAACACTCACCCCCAAACTCCACATCCAGCAAACACGTCCTTCAGGAGCTCAGGTGAAAGGAAGGCGCCCTCAGACGAGGGGAACTGAGTTCTGGTCAGCACCTGCCCAGAAGCGTCGGCTGGGCGCTTCACATGCCGGGGGGCAGGGGGGCAGGAGCAGTGAGCGCGGCGGGGCTCGGACCACGTGGGGTGGAGCCGCGTGTGCAGATGGGATGCTGAGGGCTGCCGCGGGGTGGGGCCTGTCCAGGTGTGGTGGTTCCGCATCCAGTGGAAGTGGGATATGCAGATCCCAAGCTGGGCAGCCTCTGAGGAAGTTGTGCAAAGAGGTAGTCAGATCACACTGAAGTGGAGTGCCAAAAACACTGGATGTGGAGCCTGGAGGAAAGCAGGAAAGAGGAAGTGCAAGGAAAGAAAAAGAGAGGGAAGAAGTAGGAAACAAAACAGTGGTGCCCTAGCCCCGGCAGCTCCGTAACTGCGTGAGTGTGAGTGTCATAAACACCCCGATGGTGAGACAGGCTTGTAAGTGTGGCCTTTTATCAGCTGACCGCTCTTATGAGGGCGCCAACCCTGCTCACGAGGCTCCACCCTCAGGACCTCTTCACTTCCCAAAGGCCCCACCTCCAGACAGTGTCATCTTGGGGGGTGAGGATTTCAGCGTGAATTTGGGAGGACACAAATTTGGTGTATAGTGTCACTTTAAATGCAATGATGCAGGTGGGTTAAGAGTAAAAGGGTAGAAAAAGAAATGCTAAGGAAACAGAAGAAGAAAGCTGAAAATGGCCGTATTAACACCATGGGAAACTCAGGGCAAGGAAAATTACCAGTGAAAAAGACTGTCAGGAAGAGATAATGATCCCAAATGTGTGTGCACCGAACAGCAGCTTTTACACAGAGCAAGCCGACAGGACTGTGAGGAGAGGCAGACAGAAGTCATGTAACAGCTGGAGATTTCGACCCCCCCCCCCACCAGTCATGGGAAACTCAGGGCAAGGAAAATTACCAGTGAAAAAGACTGTCAGGAAGAGATAATGATCCCAAATGTGTGTGCACCGAACAGCAGCTTTTACACAGAGCAAGCCGACAGGACTGTGAGGAGAGGCAGACAGAAGTCATGTAACAGCTGGAGATTTCGCCCCCCCCCCCCACCAGTGGTAGGTAGAACTAGTAGACAGAACTGAACAGCACTGTCACCCTGTGAATTGACATTTATAGACATTTTGCCCTCAGTGGCGGAGTACACATTCTTCTCAAGTTTACAGGAAATAGTCACTAAAACTGATCATATCCTGGCTCACAGGAGAGCCCATGACAATTTTTATTTTTATTTTTGCGGCTGGCTGGTACAGGGATTAAACCCTGGACCTTGGTGTCATCAGCACCACACTCTAACCAACTGAGCTGACTGCCAGGCCTTGCAACAGACTTTAAAGAATCGAAACTATACGATGTAAGTTATGTGACTATAATGGAGTTAGACTAGAAATCAGTAACAGAAGAACAGGAAAATCTCCAAACAGGTGGGAGGTAATGCACTTTTCTATAGTCCATGGGTCAGAGAGTAAGTCTCTAGGGAAATTAGAAACTCTTTAAAACTGAACACAAATGAAAATACAACATATCAGAATGTGTGGGGTACATCTAAAGCAATGCTTAGAGGGAAATTTGTAGGATTAAATACTTAACTTTAGAAAAGAAGGAACTCAAATCAATAATTTAAGCTTCCATCTTAAGAAACTAGAAAAAGATCAAAATAAACCCAAATCAAGCAGAAGAAAGGAAATAATAAGAGCAGAAATAACTAAAATTGATTTCTGAAAACATTAGGGGAAATCAACAAAACAAATATGGTTACTTGAAAAGATCATTAAAATTGATAGACCTTTAGCAAGATACAGAGGTAAAAAGAAGATATAAGTAACCAACATAAGAAATGAAAGAGGGATGTCACTCACTGTAAACCCAGCAGATATTAAAAGGACAATAAGGAAACGTGGCCACGGAAACCTCTCTATGCACATAAGTTTTGTAGCTTAGGTTAAGTGGACCAATTCTTTGGAAACTACAAAGTATCAGAATTCATCCAGGACAGGCTATGCAGGAAGGTGAAGGAAAGGAACGAAAGAACAAGACTGTCCCTGTTTGCACAAAACACAACTGTGAGAATCTCAAGGGCTCTAGCAGGAAAAATGAGTAAGTGTATACATTTGGCACAGAAAAGTCAGTCACAGTTCTGTGTACTGCTGTCCCCCTTATCTGAGGGGACGTGTCCCGAGAGCCCCAGCGGATTCCTGGCACCGCCGGTCAAAGTGTTGGTGTTGGCCTGGCCCTGCGTTCAGTGTCCCTGCTGTCCTGGCCAGGCGCCCACCGTGCTAGGGCCGTGACTTCTGTGCCTGAGGTGCCGCAGCAGAACCAGCTGGAGGGTCTCTTGTTCTGCAGTTTCACAGCAGGAAGACGCTTTCTTACTGTGTGTCCCAGCACCTTCAGCATCCGACTGTTTTTTTTTCCTTACTGAGAACTTTCACCTTTTCACCTGCAGGAAGTGCTTCCGGCTTCTCTGGCATGTCTGAGTTGCCAGCATCGCTGTTCTCATGCTTTGGGGTTGTTACTGAGTGACCAGCACACAGGCACTGCCATCCCAGATCTGATAACCCAGATGGCTGCTAAGTGGGATGGGCAGTGGTGTAGACAGTGTGGATGTGCTGGACAAGCTGGGTGTGGCGGAGCGGGACCTCACCACGCGATGCAGAAGGGGGAGTCAGTTAAAACGTAGGAATTACTTGTTTATGGAATTTTCCAGTTAATAGTTTTGCATTGCGGTTGTCCACAGGTAACTAAAACCATGGAAAGTGAAACTGCGGGTAAGGGGGACTACTGTACTAACAGGATACAGTTGAAAACCAAAATCAATGAAACGATACCATTTACAACAGCCCCCGACAAAATGAATAAACGCAACAAAATGTTCACCAATTCTGTACCCTGGAAACTACAGAATGCTGATGTGGAAAACCAGAGGAAGCCTACGTCAGCAGACACACCGCACTCGTTCACTGGAAGGCTCAGCCTGCTAACACGTAAATCCTCTCCAAACTGATCTGTTGACGTAATTCAGTCTCAGTCAGAATCCTAGCAGAGGTTTTGTAGATGTAGACCAGCTAATTCTAAAGTTCACATGGAATAGCAACAGCAATTCTGAAAAAAATAAAGTTGGAGGAGTCCCACGATTTTAAGGTTAAGTATAAAACTGCAGTAATGAAGGCAGTGTGATATGACTGGAGGAGCAGACGCACAGATAATAGAACAGAGAATTTAGAAATAGACCCTCCCAGACGTGGCCTCCTGATTTTTGATAGAGATGCAAAAGAAATTCAGTGAGGAAAGGATAAATTCCTCGGCAAGTGCTGTTGTGAAAACTGGTCATCTCTGTGCAAAACAAAATAAACAAAACAAACATTGACCTAAACCTCACACATTTTGCAAAAAATGTAAAACATAGGAGGAAACCTTCAGAGAGTTCTTGGACTTGACACCAAAGGTGTGTGCAATTCAGTGCTGAGAAAGAATCAGTAAGTCAGACTTCATCGCGTTTTAGAACTTCTGCTCTGAGAAAGACTCTGTTATGAGACAGACAAGACAGACTGTGGACTGGAAGAAAGTATTTGCAGATCACATATCCCACAAGGGACCAGTATCCAGAATATACAAAGAACCCTCAAAACTCATCAGTGAGAAAACAGTCCAAAGAGGATATGAGGGTGGCAGATGGGCACGTGAGAGGATGCTGATATTCTTAGCATTTAGGGAAATACACATGGAAGCCACGAGGAGGGAGTGCTGCACACCTGTCAGCACAACGGTCAGAGCTGGTGAGCACGTGGAGTGATTGCAGTACTGCTGGCGGGAGGCAGAGGGTGCAGCCGTGCTGGACAGTGGCTTGGTGGTTTCTCATGAAAGGAAGCACACACCCACTGTGAGACCAAGTAGTGTCCTCCGCGTGTCCACCCTAGAGAAGCAAAGCCCCGTCCACATAAAATCCTACACGGGAGTGTTTATGGCAGCCTGATCTGTAGTTCCCAGATTGGAAGCAACCCAGTGTCCTTTAGCAGGTGAGTGGATGAACATTGTGGGTTCCATCCACACGGGGACAGTGTCCCTGCAGCAGTAGGAGCAGACCTTGATGCACTCCTCACGGCAGGGCACATCCTGAGGCCTCATGTTGGTGAAAGGAGACATCTCAGGAGGACTCGAGCCGTGGGCATCCTTCACGTGGCACTTGTTCCTGTGATGCTGGGGAACAGGCCGGTGGGGCTGTGGGGCAGGATGAGTTGTCCCATGTTCTGACTGTGGCCCTGGCCTCACGAATCTGCACGTGGGTGTGACTCATCGAAGTGCTCATCACCAAAGCCCGTTTTATTGTACGACATTTAAAAGTAAAACGGAAACAAGAAAAACATGGAAGCATAGTCTTCTGCCTTTCAGAGCAGATGAGACAGTTCAGTGTCCCTTAGCTGTTCTCTCAGAGCCTTACATTGTGGAAAAGTGTTTTACAGTTTCTCGCCTCAGCCCCTTTTTCTGACATCAGCACCTGTGGCCGGGAGGAACACACCTCAGCACTTAGGTGTAGGCAGAGTCGCTGGAGCCGTGGGCCCTGTCTGCTCCTGGTGGGCAGCATTGGCCCTCGTCCTGTCTGGACCACCTCACTGTGGACACGAGCCTCGCCCTGCCCCCCCTGCCCCCGGGCCACTTTGTGAGGGAAGGGAGGCCGGGAAGGTGCTGGGTCTTCCATGCTGCCCGTGTGGAGCCACTGCTCTGAGGGCGCACGCCCATGGTGGCGGGAAGGCTCTTCTTGGCCCGTGGCTGCAGGCAGGCAGGGCTGCTCTGTGGTGAGGACAGTGCCTGAGGGGCGGCAGAGAGGAGCACCTGTTCTGGACGTGCAGGTGCTGAGAGAGGGTTGTCCCTGGGCCTCTGGGCAGTGGCCTGGCTGTGCCATCTGTCTTGGAGAAGGGAGGTGCCCAAGGCTTGGGTGCTTGCTTGTGCACCTGGCATGTAGGGCTGAGTCCCCCATCTCCATGGGGGTGAGGGAATGATGCTTGCAGGCCCTTTGCATAAGCCGGTGCTGCCCTGGTTCCCTTGTGCTTCCCTGTGACCTTCCGGTAGCTCTGGTGGTTCCCCTGTGACCCCAGCCCCAGGTGGGGGTGAGTTCCAGAAACCAGGGTACGGTGTTTGAATCTGGCCCAGAGAAGAGAGGCCCCCAGCAGAGGAGCGACAGGCCCATTCCTGGTTGTCTTGCCACCCTGCCCAGGGCTGGGGGGGCCAAAGGGGCATGAGTCTAAGCTGGTTCTGAGAGCACTCATAAAGCCAGCTAAATGAGGAGGGTGGGAGGGGGCACCGGGCAGAGGAGGAATCTGCCTGAGTCTCAGTGCCCAGAAGCTGCCCATCGCTCTGGCTGGGGCAGAGGTGCCTGTGGTTGTGGCCATGGGAGTGGTGGAGACTGCCCTGTGTCGGGGGGCAGCCCCAAGTTGCTGAGCAGACCCACACATGGCTCCCATCCCAGCCCCAGGTGAGCTGGAGAGCAAACCACCCCCCACCCCCTGATTTGCAGTGTTGGTCGCTTTCCCAGGTGTAAACACTCCCACCACGTCGGGGGAGTGTGCAGAACTATCCGCCCAGCCCTGCCCGCCCTGGTTCTGGCCTGCAGGGGCGACCTGTAGGGGAAGACAGGCATGGAGGGGAGGCTGCCCACAGCTAGGGTGGTAAGGGCCACCCAGTGGGTGCTCACGGGTTTGTGTGTTTATATTGCATGAGCTGGAAGACACGTTTGTTTCCGTGGCTGGGCTTCAGCAGGTGTCCTCCTCCCTGAGATGCTCTGGCCCAATCAGGGACTGTTGGTCTCACATAAGGACTGGCTGCCCCTGCACAGGGGCAGGTGTGGGCCTTGGAGTGGGTGAAAGGGGTGTCCAGGGGCCAAGTCCCTATCCCGGCCAGGCCAGTCCTCACTGGGCCTAGGGAGAGGGCTGTGGCTTCCAGTAGGAGCAGGGCACTAGCAAAGGGCTGGGGCCTGGCGACTGGCTGTGGTGCTCCCTCCCAGGAAGAGACAGGGGTCCTCAGAGCTTTTTAAAAACAGCGTAGAAACAGTACGTGTTATTTTAAAAGAATGAAGCTTGAGGCCATACAGAAGTAGAGAAAATGGAGATCACCCCTCTGTTTTTCCACATGTGTTGAGATGTGGCTAATGTGCCTCCGGTGACCACTTCCAACTGCCATGGGGGGCACTGGGCGTGTGGCGGGGTGGCTCCTTGACGCGGCCCTGTCCCTGCAGACAGTACTGCTGGCACGATGAGCGGGGGAGGAAGGTGAAGTGCACGGCCCCGCAGTACATCGACTTTGTCATGAGCTCCGTGCAGAAGCTGGTGACTGACGAGGACGTCTTCCCCACCAAGTATGGTACGTCTCCCAGCCCTGGGTGGGTGCCGTCACCAGGGCGGGTGCTCGGCACACAGGACTGGGCTGTGCAGTGACGCGGGAGCCTCCTGCGACAGTGTGCTGTGCGGGTGGCTGCGGGTGATGCGCAGCAGCACGGGTCAGGCCAGGGCAGGGCCTGGGTGCTTGGGGCTGATCCCGAGCTGCCGAGGGAGGCGCCCTTCCTTTGTTCCCCTCCTCCCCATCAGTCCCAGCTGTGCAGAGAGCTCTGGAGTGTCCATGGGGACCCCCCCAGGCAGGTTCAGCCCCGGGCACCAAGCTCACAGGGAGGCCACTCAGGTGCCTGCTGGGGGCAGAGGCTGTCCTGCTTGGGCTCGCAGGCCCTGAGGGTGGCCCAGTGAGGGCTGTGGGTGCCAGGTGTGAGACTCTCTGGGTTGGTCCTGCAGAGAGTGCCTGGTTCAGGGTCGAGGGTGCCTGCCCGCCTGTGACACCGTGGTCTCCCCCAGGCAGAGAATTCCCCAGCTCTTTCGAGTCCTTGGTGAAGAAGATCTGCAGGTACCTGTTCCACGTGCTGGGCCACATCTACTGGTCCCACTTCAAGGAGACCCTGGCCCTTGAGCTGCACGGACACTTGAACACTCTCTACATCCACTTCATCCTCTTCGCCAGGGAGTTCAACCTGCTCGACCCCAAAGAGACCGCCGTCATGGATGACCTCACTGAGGTGCTGTGCAGTGGTGCTGGCGGGGGCTGCAGTGGGGGCAGCGGGGACGGGGCCAGCAGCGGGGGCCCAGGGGCACAGAACCACGTGAAGGAGAGATGAGCCCCCAGGGCCGGACAGGGGTGCACATGTGCAAAGAGACAATCGTGTGTGTTCTCTCCGTGTGTCCGCGTGTGTGCGCACGTGCCTGCCACGCTCGCCAGCCAGGTCTGAGGGAGGCCCTGGGCTGTGCTGAGTGTGGGCCCTGCAGATGCTGCAGGGCTGGGCCGCGTTCTCTGGCTTCTGGGTTGGATGGGCGTGTGCCAGTCGCGGGGAAGAGCCTTCGGGTTCACTCACTCATTCAACGAACATTGATCGGACTGACGTTTTGAGTTTTCTTCTGTGGGGTTCTCCTTCCTTTGGTCTTCCGAGTGCCCCTGCTCCCCCTCGCCCTCCTCGGGGGCTCTGCTGTTGTAAAAGAAACACCCGGTGGGAGACTGTTCTCCCTTCGAGGAGGGCTTGATTTGCAAACTTGGGGTCCTGTTTTGGGGTGGGGCTTGCCTTTCCAGCGACCCCTCCCTTGGCCTTGCCCAGAGGTTGGCTGTTGGCAGCTCAGGGTCGGGGTGGGGGTGGGGGGGGCCTGTGCCTGCTGCTTGCTCCTGTTACCCCTTCTTGCTGTCCCCACATGCCCAGGGAGGGCCTGCGTGCACAGCCACCAGGCGTGCCAGGATGGGATGTGGCCCTGCGTGGAGATGCAGCTGTCGGCAGAAGGCAGAGATCGCTTCTTTTATGTCATCTGTTCAGTCGTAATAAAAAGAATTCTCTCAGGTCAGAGCCTTGTGTGTGTCCTCAGCGTCTCAGTGATGTCCCCCACAGAGGGTGTGAAGCCAAGGGAGGCCATGCTGTGGTCCCAGCACAAACACATGCTGAGGTGGCCGCAGGTGGTCCCAAGGCACACAGAGAGTGGGGTGGGCACCGGAGCACCTCCCTCCTCCTTGTGAAGGGCAGCACAGGCTCCACCTGCTATCACCACATTCACCACTTGTCCCTGGGACCCTCCACCACACCACCGCCTTCTGTACCCCTCCTTGTGCAGGTGACAGGGACCCTTGGGTGTGGGTGGAGTTGCTGGGGACATCTTCTCTGAGGGGTTCCTGGCCAGTCCAGTGCCAGCCTCAGCTTGGGAGAGGCGAGTGAGTGTGGCAGAAGTGGTGGTGGTGGGGCTTGGGGAAGAAGCCGGGCACTTGTTCAATACCTGAGTGGTCTGAGAAGAAGCAAGAGGGGGCTTGGGGGGTGGGGGGGGGGAAGGCCTGGTTGGCACAGACCTCAGAACTGCGGGTCTGGGCCCTGATGGCCTGCCCACTGCACCTGGTGACATGGGGATGGTTTTCTCCTTCAATACTCTGTCCCCACAGGCACCCCTTAAATAGTGGGGCTCACCCGGGTCCTGGCACTCACCTGGCCCTCAAACTTGGTACAATGCGCCTGTGGTTCCTTTCCAGAACCATCACCAGCCTGTGGGGGCCCAGCTGGAGGCCAGAGGCCCCTCCCAACCCTATGTTCTTCCCTGGGGTCCTCCCAGCCCACCGTAGCCACCAAGCCCAGTCCCACCTGCCCTCTCTTCAGATGTTTCCAGCAACCACTCTGCTTGTTGCCAGTGACAGCCTCTCCTCCTGTCTCCCCGCTGACAGCTTGTCCCTCGCCTCTCCACGAAGTGCCCACACTGTCTCCTTGACCCCTGGCTGCACAGTGGGTCAACTGGGGGCAGTTTTGAAATTCCCGGTACCTGGAACCAGTCTTAGCACATTGACTCAGTCCCTGGAGACGGGTGCCTCTCTCCTGCCTCCCTTGTATGGCAGCCTGGGCCATGGAGGACCTGTAGGGGAGGGGAGGCAGGAGCAGGCTGGGGTGTGGGCCTCGCAGGGCTGTCCTCTTGGGCCAGGCCTGGGGGGTGTGAGCAGCTGAGCGGAGGCCGCAGTGAGCAGGCCAGCCACAAAGCCTGGGTTCCGTGTGTCCAGGAGCCTCGCCAGGCTGCTGCAGGGAGAAGCTGGGGCTCTGTGGCTGGCCATTGTGGGGTCTGGAGGCGCTAGGAGGACGCTGGGATTTCTAGTTGGAGCTGCTAGGTGGAGCCTGTGATAGAGTATGTGTGTACGTGTGAGTGTGTGTGCGTGTGCATGTGGACATGTGACTCCAGGAGGAGCTGAGTCCCAGCTCTGCCAGGATGGTGGTTTGCTCCCCCTCTACCCTCGAGCCTCGGTCACCCAGTTTGTACTGTCCTGACAGAACAGTGGTTCCCCAGAGATGTCTATGTTGATCCCTAGGCCCCGTGACTGTTACCGTGTAGAGTGAAGGGGAGTTAAAGTTGTAAGTGGAATTTGGGTTCCTAATCAGTGACGTTGAGACGGGGAGACTCTCTGGATGACCGGGAGGGCCCAGTGTCACCTGAGGGCCCGTGCCCATGGAGGAGGAGCACAGGACGGGATGGAGAGATGGCAGCATGCAAAGGGCTCAGCCCAGCCACAGGCATGGGGGGGCTGTGCACCAGCGAGTGCCGTTCCCCCCACCCCTGAGCTTTTGGGAAGAACCAGCCCTGCTGACTTTACACCTCAATTTTAGTATGTGAGACCCATCTTGGACTTCTGACTTCCAGAACTATAACAAACCTGTTTGTCTTCAGCTACTAAGTTTGTGGTAACTGCAGCAACAGGCAGTGAATGTAGACTTTGGTCCCAGGAGTGAGGTGCTGCTGTACCAAATACCCAGAAATGTGGAAGTGCTTGGGAATTGGGCAGTGGGCAGGGACTGGAAAAATTTTGAGGGACATGAAAGAAAAATTAGATTTCTATAAGCACATGGTTGGTAGAAGTCTAGGTGTCAACAGCTCTGCTCGTGAGGGTTCAGAAGTAAAGGAAGGGACACAGAAATCCCAGTTCACTGCTGAGAATATTTAAAACAGCAGACTACTAGAGAAAGTGAAGTGTGGGGCGCTGCTGATGGGGCTCAGGGCAGGACGTGGCATTGGAGACCCTGTTCTGTGTGTGCCACGGCAGACAGCTTTGCGCTTCCTGTCCTGTAGCCCTGTGGGAAGCAGGACTTGTGAACTGTCAACTTGGACATGCAGCTGAGGAGCTGTCACGCAGAGCGTCGAAGGTGCAGCCCGGCTTCCCGCCGCTGCTCGTGGGGATGTGTGGGACGAAAGAAACTGAGCGAACGGGAGTGAGCACTTGATGACTGGGAAATTCTCAGCCTGTCCCAATTGCAAAAGACTAAAATTAGGAGATTTGCTCTCAGGAAAGTGTGCTCTAGAGAAGTTGCAGGTTCTAGAGCTTCTAGAAGAAGCTGTTCTAGAGAACAGCTGCACAGTCTTCTGCTCACATGTCAGAAAGGAGGAAGGTTAGAGTGTCTGTCGCTCAGGAGGCTGAGCAGAGGCAAAGCACGGGGGCTGTCCAAGCAGAAGCCAAAAGCAGGGGAAAGACGGTCCTTAGGCTACAGTGTCTGACGGCATGAACCCCTGGGATAAGCACAGGAGACCCACAGCCTTCTCGAGAGCCTTGGATCATCAGAAACACCAGCAGCTGGATCGAGACGGATGGAAAGTGGATGGCATGAAAGGCAGCTGGGTCCTGCACTGCACAGGCACGACACAGACTGCTGGACTGCTCGGCTGCAGATGCTGGCTGTGTGTCCCGAAGCAGAAGGGCTGGCCCGGGGCTGGGCTGTGAGTGCAGAGGGCACGGGTGGGAGCTACAGCAGACGGTTCTGGGCCCGGCTGGGTGCCTGGTGCCGCTGCCCGGCAGAGCCTGGACTTCATGCGGCTGGAGACACATACCCCTTCCATGTTCGAGGAATGTCTGTGACTGGCATTCTGTGTCTGTCCTGTTTATTTTGGAAGCAGATAACTTGTTTTCTATTTTTACTGGTCCACGGGTGGAGGGGAATTTTGCCCCAGGGTGGACCACACTCAGAGTCTCCCATGCCTGATTTAGATGATGAGGTTCGGGATTTGACTTGAAGCCACTAACAGCCTGAGACTTTTGGGGACCTTGAGATGGGAAGCATGCATTTTGCATGTGGGATGGATATGACACTCTGGGGGCCAGAGGGCACACTGTGGTAGGTACAGTAATGCCCTTCACCCTGGAGATGTCCACACCCTGATCCCTGGAGTTATATCACCTGACACAGCAAAGGGGATGGAGGTTGCTGATCAGCTGGCCTTGAGGTGGAGAGAGCGTGTGGGCCCAATGTAATGACAGGAGTCCCTGAGAGTGGAACAGGCAGGCAGTATAGGGAGAGCCAGAGGGACGGAGCGGGAGAGAGCCTTGGCCTGGCCGTGAGGGTGGAGGACGGGACCACAAGCCACGGGATGCAGGCACCTCTCGTGGCTGGAAAGGGCAAGGAAACGGGTGTGGCCCTGCTGACTCCTTGGTCTCAGCCCAGTGAGACTCGCTTCAGCACGACCTCCGCAGTTCTGAGCTCCAGACTGTAAGGTAGATAATTTGTGTTTTAAGCTACTAAGTTTGTGGTAATGTGTCACAGCAGCAATAGGAAACTAGTACATCTGTAGATGGCTGTGGAGCTCTGAGGGGGTTTTGGGGGCATAGTAAGATAGTCCGTGAAAGCATTGGCCCAGCACCTGCCCCAAGGACGAGCTCCCAAACAGCCCCTGGGCGTGTGGCTGCCAGTGTGGACCCGGCTCCCAAGGCCACTCCTTTCCTCAGCGGGCAGCTCTGCTCGAGGTCTCCCCTGGTTCTCCCTCCTCCCGCCACAGCCATCCTCTCCCTGGCTCTCTGCTGACCTCACCCCTTGCCAAGTCACACTACAAGACTCGGGTCGGTAGTGGGGACAAGCCAGGGACACGGGTGGGAAGGCACCAGACTTGGCGACCTGGGATGGGGGCAGAGGGAGTGGCCACTGTGCCACAGGGAGGGGGTGGCAGGACCAGGAGGCAGAGCTGTCTGTGAAGCTGGGCCTCCCCTGTGGTGAGCTCACTGCAAGGGGGGTGAGCAGGGCCACTGCACCATGTGGGGACCCACCCTCTTCTCCACGCTCTGAGGCCTCATGACACCAGGAGTTGGTCTGTCTTACAGCTGAAGGGCGGGGGCTCAGGGCTTCCACCTGCAGCCAAAGGTGTGGACCGAGCCAGAAAAGCTCCCCACAGAGCGGGCTCAGTCTGGGCTGCTTCTCACGGTTCATCCCTCAGGTGCCTCCACCTTGCCTGCACCACCTGCTGGCACCCTGCACCACCTGTCTGCTCCCCTGCCCACTGTGACCCCACTGGTGGGCTCCCACAGTTGATTTGCAGGAGCAGGACTCCAGCTCCTGGGCCGGAATGTGCCTGTCCACCCAGCTACGAGAGGGCTGAGGATTGGGACCAAGAGGTCCTTCTCTGACTGGGGCCAGGACCACTGGCACACCGTTCTTTTTAAGTCTTCAAACTGGCTTAATGCTCAGTCCAAAGTGCTCAGAATAGAGTACATCCTTACGTATTTATTTTTATGGAAACAGTTATTTGGCTCACCTCACTTTGGGTTCTGTTAGTTACAGCCAAGAGAGCTTGGTGTCAGAAGTGGGATGCCTGCACCCAGGGGTGTGCAGATGGGAAGCTGGCAGGTCTGTTGGGCAAACTTGTTTTCTTTTGGGACTCCACTCAGAAGCCCAGTGAGGCTGACTTTAGACCAAGTGTTCAGAGGGCAGTGTTGGAAGACTAGGAGGTCTCTGTGCACCTGCTGCTCTTTCAGTAGGGTGGACGCAGAACCACAGGTTGAGAAGACTTCCAGCCTGTGGCCAGCAACCTGGGGCCCCAGGATTGGGTAATCTTGTGGCTGGTTGAGTCATGGCAGACACATTCCTTCCTTCAACCTACTTCTTAAGCTAAAATTAACTCGGAAACTGCCATCCAGCAATCACAGCAGCCATCCTGATGCTCTCTTCAAAGGACCTCTGGGCACCCACCTCCCTGGATGGCACAGTGACATTCCTGGGCTGGATAGAGATGGCCCCAGTGTCACCTCAACAGACCCTCTAATGTTCTGGGCTTTTAGCCAGAGGCGATGGCAGCTGCCACTCTGCAGAGCTCCACACCCCCAGAGTCAGACAGGCCCTGTTGGTCACATGCATGGCTCTCCCAGGCCCTGTGGTGCACTTAAGAGCTAGCCCCAGGGCAGTGCTCACACGGGGTGACTGTGGTCCAGAAGACACCTGGCAATATCTGGGAACATTTCTGGTTGTCACAATGGGGGTAGGGGACAGCTACTGCACCCATCGGACAGAGACCAGGGCTGCTGTGGACACCCTATAGTGCACAGGACTCCCCCTTCACCCCACAACAAAGCACCCTCCAGGCCTAAACGTCAGTGTGCTGCAGTGGTGGAGCCCTGCTGTAGAGATAGGTGGCCGGGGGCAAGGTCAGGCCCTGCCACTAGGCTGTGCTGTGCCCAAGTCCTTCACACATGGGGGAAGGTGCACTTGCGTATGAGCTGGGGGGCAGCCCCATGGGCGTTGTGGCCAAGGCTCAGGCCCCTCCCCGAGCACTGCCCCTCATCTGTCAGATCTGTGGTGGATTCCCAGGAGTGGTCCATGGAACATGGGGCTGGGGACTCCGTGGCCCTGGGGGATGGGCTGTCCATTGTGCTGCTGCAGCAGAGGATGCGACAAGGCTGGTGCATAGTTGTGGTGTCCACCGTCGGGCTGCCCTCTGCGGTGGGTGTGGCTGGGATCGTCCCCATCTGTCTCTAGGGCTGCCCATCAGTCTTGCCCTCATTTCTAGGGCCTGGTCATGGGCCCTGTCCAGACTCTTCTAAGCGAAGAGCTTGGGTTCCTTCTCCAGGGAAAAGCCCATGTGCCAGGGTGACCCCATGCAGCAGTCCTCTGTCCCTCCTGTCCTGTGCCCGGTAAGCTGTACACCGGCCATGGGTCGCTCCTCCCCTCAGCCCCAGCTGCAAATATGGTTGACATGAACTCTGACCTGGCTGCCTGGACCCCCACGGGTTGGTTCTCTTCAGCGGGGCAGAGGGTAGCACCCTCCAAATATGGCAGAGCCCAGGCATGTGTCGGGGTCAAGAGCTGTCTCGGGCCACCCCCGACCCCTGCCCGCGCCCGCCCCGCCCGGACGGAGAGCTTGCAGCGGGTGTCTTTACTGAAGGAGTTTATTGTTCTGGAACTGAAGTTGCTCACAGTTATCTGACAGGGGTACACTGGATGGGGCGTGTCCATTTCCGTGACGCCTGCGTGAGTCCGCGTGTGTCCGAAGTACAAAAGAGGACGGCTAACTAGAGGTATTGCTTTCGGTACCCTCTGTCTCCGCGACGAGCCCCTTCCTGCTTGTACTGCGTGGCTTTTGCTGTTATAGGTGTGTAGTTTTTCCCTATGTATAGAAATCCCAGCCTGTGGTAGAGGTTTAATGTAACAGGAGCATTAAAATCTATACACGAAGAGAGGGGAGGGGAGGCGGGGGGACACCTGAAGCAAAATGGACGGTCACAGCAAAGGCATGCATGAAACCTGCCCGTTGCCTGCCCCGCTGCCAGCTGCACCTGGGGGCCTTGCAGCCAGCCCGGGAGGGGCTGGGCCAGCACGGACATAAAGGAACACAGACAGGAGCCGGAGATGGAGATGAAGCAGGGTGGGCCTGCCCGGTGGTGGGTGGTGGGTGGCAGGCAGCGGGCAGGGTGGGCCGGCCAGCCCCCTACCCATGTGGGCTGTGCCCCTTGACCTCCCTATGTACAGGAGAAACACGCTGCAGAGGAACGCCGCTAACTCTTCCTGTCCTTGGTGTTTGGTTTTCTAAAAAAATTTTTTCATTTTAATAAAAAAAGCCCCGCGGTGCCCCTGCCATCCTGTGTGTGTGTGGGGGGGGTGGGGGGCCTGCTCAGGGCCATCTCCTCCCCCTTCTCTCTCGGACACAAAACCAAGATCGCTCCCAGTCTGGACGGAGAGGTGCTGGGCGGTGCTGTCGTGGGGTGGCGGCCTGAGCCACCTGCTATCAGACGATGCCCTCCACCTGCGCCCCCATACAGAATCGGAGCTGCTTCTACACAGGAATAAAACAGAACCCAGGACAGAGCTATTCGCATCGTTCTTTAAATATATATATATATATATATATATGTATGTGTATATAGAAATAACCAAGAGCGAGGAACTGAAACTCAAAACCTAGCCCTGTCCCAGCGGCTCCCCCCACCCCCACGCCCTTTTCCAAAAACAACCAAGAAAAAAAGTTTATAAAAATATCTTGCAGGAATTCTTTAAAGTTTACAGTAGCTTGCCGGTGCTGCATCCACTGGCCAGCCCCCCGCTGCCCCCAGCACCCTGACGGCTCTGTCCTCAGAGGGCACCTTGGCTCCAGACCCAACCCTGCCCAAGACACGCAGACCGGTGGCAGGAGCACGCTGCGGCCACCCTTCCCTGAACAGAGAAGTAAAGAAAACAACACTGATCTCAGCCCGGCCCCACCAGCCCGGCCAGAGCTGGAGGCCAGGACCACTCTGGTGCCCCAGGGCCTCTCTATTTCCACCTCAGCCAGGACCGATGGCAAAGCCAACAGTCCCCTGCGCCCACGGGGTGAGGGAGAAACGGATGCACATGAGGCATGAGTGGCCCGGTGCGGCCGAGGTGCAGATGGAGACGATGCGGGGAGGCGCAGGTGCGGTGCCCGTGGGAGACGGCGCCGAGGAGAGGCCTTCAGCTGCGGTGTGGAGGGGGGCGGCCGGGGTCCGTGCCTGCCGCTGCGGCCACCGTGGGGTTGCCCACTCTGGCAGGCTGGCTGGACAGACTGTTCCTGCCGAGGGGTCCAGTCATCAGGAGTCCGGGCGGGCTGGGCTGGAGGAGGCTTGCCCTGGGAGCGGGGTCCTCCTCCCGCGGGCCGTGCGGAGCTGAGGCGGGTGGGTGCGAGCTGCCGCCTGGGGGTGGAGGCGGTGGACGGGCAGGTGGGCTGGGCTTCGCCGCAGCGGCAGCAGCAGCAGCAGGAGGGAGGGCGGGTCCGCAGCAGCTGCCTTCGTCAGCCAGTGTCCGGCGCGGAGCACAGGGGATGGCCTCGTGGAGGTGACATGTTAACTTTTCGGGATAATTCCTGGTATCAGAGCGGAAACAAGCGACGTCGTCAGAGACAGGCAAGGACAGAGACAGCGAGAGGAAAAGAGAGCGAGCACGGGCGGCCCAGCCCACGGCCACGGCCCGGTGCCCCTTTCCTTTCCTCCCAGGCTTTGAGACAACAGTCTGGACGGGCAGGCGTGGCCCGGGGTCCACGCGGGGCGGGCGGCGGCGGCGAGGCAGCCGCGGTCAGTGCTGTGCTGGGGGGCTAGTGTGTCTAAGGCTGCTGGAGGCGGGCGGCGGGCGGCCCCATCTTGGCCGTGTCCTTGCCCGTCGGGTACTCGGCGTCCCCTCCAGGGCCAGGGCCAGGGCCAGGGCCAGCGGCCGCGGAGTCACCGAGTGGGCCGTGGGCACTCCGCTTGGCGGGTGTGCTGGGGGCCTGGGCCGCCTGCCCGTTCTTCTCGTCTGAAAAAAGTTGTTTAATTACGTCAAAGAAGTTACTCAATGGGCTGCCTGGGTACACAGAACAGAAAACAAAAAAGAGACAAGAAAGGAAAAAATAAAAAAACAGGGAGAGAAAGGGAGGGGAGGAGAGAGAGAACAAACAAACAGATGAACCGAGAGCCTTGACGGGAGAGAGGAAGCCCAGCGGCATGAGGCCTGAGATGGGGGTGGCAGCGGGCGGCAAGCAGCGCGGGCAGGCGGCTGGCGGGGGTCCCTGCGCAGCGGGGTCTCTGAGTGCTGGGGACTGTGGGCCAGAAGTTTGGGACCTCTATACCTCTGAGCTGTCATGTGGGACCCAGGGCTCCTTTTAGAACTGAGGCTCAGGGCAGGTGGCGAGACCCCTCTGCCCTCACTGGGTGGGCCTGGCCCTGAAGGCCCTGTCCACCCCCCCATCCCCATAGCCATGCAGACTGGCTGACCCCAAATCGGAGATGGTGGCATAAAGGCCAGAGCCTGCCAGGAGCCCTGAGGCCAACCAGGACCTTGGGGTCAGCTGCTGGTGGCCTGCACGAGGCCTGCACTGGATGGGGAGGCTGGAGCCAGCACCCAGCAGAAGACAGGCACACCCTCCCCAGGGCCCTGCAGCCTGGAGCCAGCGTGGACAGCAGACAGACAGACGGATGGATGGGTGGACAGGCATGGAGGGCTTGGCATGGGAGGGCAGGCTGGGCAGCTGGGGACAGGCAGCCAGAGCTGGGTCCCTGGTCCCACACAGCAGGGGTCATGGCACAGAAATGGGTGGCTGCCCCTCCTGGGGCCCTGTGCTCACTGCCCAGGTGCCTCAACTACACTTCCTAAACAGACCCCCAACCAAGCCCAGAGCACTGCGGGCCCCTTGTCTCTCTGCCAGGCACAGCCAGGAGGGAGGACAGAGGGCTGGGCGAGTCCACCCTGACCCAGACCAGAGCCCGTACGTGGGACCCTCACTGGCCTTGGGTGTGGGAGCCCCTTCCTGCTCTCAGCCATGTGGGGAGCAGAAGGAGAGTGACAGGCTGCTTCTGGCAGAAGATGGGGCCAGGGTGGCTGGGCTGTCTGGAGCCTACGTGTGCACAGGGAACCCAGGATGGCCCCGGGGAGGCGGGGTGGGGCAGGCTGCAGGTGAGGGTGAGGCTGGCAGGCGGAGGTGCCAGGTGAGCGTGAGGGATTCTTACCACATTTGGAAAGACGCCCCGTCATCATTTCCACACAGTTAGTGGTGTCTGGAGCACAGAATGGAGAGAGGGAGGGAGGGAGAGAGTGAAAAGGCTGCCCACAGGGACCTGGGGCTGGCCCTCTGCAGCCTCAGGCCGGCATGGTGGGGCAGGGCAGGAGTGGGCAGGGCCCAGATGGGCGTGGCCAGGAGTGGGCGTGACCACAGGACAGAGCCAGGAGTGGCAGGGCTCTGATGGGCGTGGCTAGGAGTGGGCATGACCACAGGACAGAGCCAGGAGTGGCAGGGCCCAGATGGGTGTGGCTAGGAGTGGGCGTGACCACAGGACAGAGCCAGAAGTGGCAGGGCTCTGATGGGTGGGGTCAGGAGTGGGCGCGGCCACAGAGGGGCAGCCAGGAGTGGCAGGACCCAGATGGGTGGGGTCAGGAGTGGGCGAGGCCACAGAGGCAGAGCCAGGAGTGGCAGGACCCAGATGGGCGTGGCCAGGAGTGGGCGAGGCCACAGAGGGGCAGAGCCAGGAGTGGCAGGGCTCTGATGGGTGGGGTCAGGAGTAGGCGAGGCCACAGAGGGGCAGAGCCAGGAGTGGCAGGGCTCTGATGGGTGGGGTCAGTAGTGGGCGTGGCCACAGAGGCAGAGCCAGGAGTGGCAGGACCCAGATGGGTGGGGTCAGGAGTGGGCGTGGCCACAGAGGGGCAGAGCCAGGAGTGGCAGGACCCAGATGGGCGTGGCCAGGAGTGGGCGAGGCCACAGAGGGGCAGAGCCAGGAGTGGCAGGGCTCTGATGGGCGTGGTCAGGAGTGGCCAGGAGTGGGTGATGCCAGAGAGAGGAGGGGCTCAGGGAGGGTGGGGCTCGGGGCAGGGCTCAGTGCTGAGTGGGGCAGGAGCGAGATGTGCAGTCCTGAAAACGGGGTGTAGCCTGGTCCCCTGGGTCTGCCTGGCACCCCTCCTCTACTTCCCCTGGGTCCAGGACAGACAGTGCTCTTGCCACGGTCTACAATGGCCACCTCACCCTGCCACTCAAGCAGCTGCAGCGGCCCGGCTGCTCCCACTTGCCCTTCAGCTTATCTTGGCACCCCCTTCCTCAGCCCTCTCCCGCCCTCTGCTGGGCCTCGGAGTGTTGCTGTTGGCAGGAGGCCTGGAGCTAGGGGTGGTAGCAGGACCCTAGGCCAGGAGCTAGGGGTGGTAGCAGGGGTGGGGCTGCACAGGGAGAGGCATGTCCCCCTTGGCCTGCTCTTGGCCTGCTCACCGGGGCCTCACTCTCATCCCTGGGCTGGGCTGGGGTCCCTATCAATCAGGGTGGCCACCAGGTCTCTCTGAGGACTGGCGGTGCCTGAGGAGCCCGTGCTTCTGCCCACGTCCTGCAGGAGTGGAGCTCACTGGACAAGCACATCTAATGTGGGAGGAGCTGGGGCACAGGGAGACCCACTGTCCCATGCCAGTTGGGACAGGATGGTGTCTAAGGCTGGGCTCTCCCAGCCCAAGGGGAGACAGACGGGCCAGAGTGGGCACCTGAGGATTTCAGGGACAGGGGCTCACCTGAGGTTAGGACTGGTGAGGGCAGGACTGGAGGTGGGGCCCTGGGGACAGGGCATGTCCACCTTGATCAGTGTGCTGCCCTGGACTCTGCACAGAGGTCCCCACTGATGCCAGAACGACATGCTGTTGGGCAGGGCTCAGAGAGTTGTGCCCACAGCCCCGCCAGGAGCAGAGAGGGACAGCGGAGCCTGTGTGGCTGCTCCAGGTATGGGAACCCTGGGCAGCACACTAAACCCCGGTCTTCGCTCGCCTCCCTGGACAAGCCTTGTCCTTCCTCAGCCATGGCTGTTGCCCGGCGGTTCCCCAGCCTGGTTCCCCCTCTGCCTGTCTTGTGGCTCCCCAGCCTGCTTCTGTCAGTACTGCTGTGATCTCTGGCCTGAGTTTCCCCCTCTAAGATGGAGATCTTAAAGGCACAGGGAGCCAGAGGCCACCAGTGCAGTCTGTGCAGGACAGCGCCCATGTGTCCCTGCAGTGCCTGGCAAGAGGTCCTGCCCTGCTCCCTGCCTCCATGCCAGTGTGGCTCCCAGGGCCAGCAGAGTAGGGCCACTCCTTGGCTCACTGGGGCCTGGGTTAGGGCCAGGCTGTTGGGTGATGAGGCAAGTGTGGGCGATGGAATGAGGGTGGAATGAGGATGGTGGGGGAGGGGGGGACTGGTGGGGCCAGTTCTGGCCTCCAGGACCCCACACAGAAGCCTGGAGGTGACCCCAACAGGCCATACCAGGCTGGGAAAGTGCCCACTGAGGCCTGGCTGGCCACCAGCAGCTCAGAGACTGAGGCTGGCCTTGGGCTGCACCTTGTGTTCCCGCAGACCTCAAGCCCCTCAGTGACTCATGGGGACCCCCATGCGCACGGCTGTTCAGACGCACACTGCCCAGCTTGCTGACGGACCGTGGCTCATGCAGCACCCAGGCCCTCCGCCCTGCCCCTTCGGCCCTACACGCAGCCCCGTGTGCCCAGGCGAGGTGTCTGCCCTCTTCCCACCAGATGCTGAGCGGCACAGACCCTCCGGCTCCTGGGTCCCCATTTGCGCCAGGCCTGGGCAGCCCCTCCCCAAGTGCCCCCTCTAGGCCCAGCTGGGGAGCCTCTGCTCTGTCTTGCTGAAGGCAGGGCTCTGGGCAGCCAGGAGTCACAGGGAGATGGGAGCCCCAAGGGGGGAGGGCCCTGGTCACTGTCTCCCAGAGCTTCCTCGGGCCACCCCTGTGGCCAGCTGCCCAACAGATGGGTGGCCTGCTCAGCCTGTCTAGGGCCAGGACTTGGGAGTGGGCATGGTGCCCTTTGCAGGGCCAGCCTGGCTGTCGCTGGAGGACCTGCTCACAGCCCCTCCCCGCCCCGGCAGTGGGCCGGACACCTTACCTGCCAGCGTCAGAGGCTACTCTCGTAGCTGGTGGCCACCTTCTGGCCCTTAAGCCCAGCGCCCCAGCTTAGTCCTGGCGCTGGCGGGGGAGGTTCTACGGTGGACAAGAGGTGCCTTTCAGTGCGCTGCAGCTGGGCCCTACAACCCTGATGTGCAAAGGTGGCCGGGGAGGGGCCCTGCTCCCTGAGGGGTGCAGCCACAGCTCAGGGCAGGGCAGCGGGGGCATGCCCAGGTTCTCGCACCTCCCGTTTGTGCAGCATGGGCCAGCCGCAGGTGGCCCAAGCCGAGCCCCCACCTCACCTGACAAGTGCTGGGCTGACGGCTGGTCGTGGGAGCTCAGTAGCTGCGCCTGGATGGTCTCCACCACCCTCTTGAAGCGGCGGCTCGGGCCTGGGGGAGACGGGGGGTTACGGCCCTGGACAGGGCTGGCCTGGAGCCGCCCCCTGGGCCGCTGGCTCACCTGAGAGCAGGGTGAAGGTGACGGAGTAGATGCCATTCTCCTTCTGGGCCTCACCACCCTCGGTGTAGGTGATGTCCACCTGGAACTTGACCGGCTTCTGGAACACGGCAGGGCCCCCTGTTGCCTTGTACTCGGCCCGGAAGCTCGTCTGGGAGATGACGCTGTGGCTGAGGCTGGGGATCTGCAGGAGCGGCAGGGCAGGCGTGAGCTGGGCTGCAGATACCCCCGCAGACCCCCTTCCTGGACCTGGGGGAGGCAGCCCTGGGAGGAGCCGGCTCGGCTGTGCACAGTCCTGAGAACCTGGTCCATCGAGCCAGCCCTCTGAGCCTGTTTCCAGATCTGTGAGACGGGTGTCACGCAGTGAAGACCATCACAGCAGGGAGTAAGATGCATGCCCAGCACTCCCCCGCCCCCCGCCCCAGCCAAAGGAATGAGGCTGAGCTTCTGACGGAGAGGATTTCTCATATGGACCCCAAACGGGACAGCAGAACAGAAAGGTCAGAGGAAGCTTGAAGATGGAGGTGGGAGAGGGCTAGGGAGAGGTGATCCCTGAAGCCTGAGCTGGGGTTGGAGCGTGGAGACTGAGGGGCGAATCTGGGAATGTCGCAGGCAAGAGCGGGAATGGCACGGGAGTGTCCAGCGCCTCCTGCTGTGTGTCTGGGACAGTGCTCTCTGCCTGGGGTCTTCCTGAGACCAGGTGCCTCAGCAGCAAGGGGCATGCGTGGAGAGCAGAACATGTGGTTCCCCTGGCACACGGGGCCCTGGTGCTCAGGAGGGCACACGCCAGCCTTGCTGGGGCCACCTTTGGTAACCCAGGAGCAGCGAGAAGTGGACTGGGGGGTAGGTGGTTAGCAGGAGAGAAGCCCAGGTCCTGGGTGGGTGGCAGAGGCCCTGAGGAGGCCAGCAGGCCACAGGGGCAGAAACGCCAAGGGACCCGAGGATCAGGTCTGTGTCCAGCCTGAGGCTGGACCTGCTCGCCTGGAGTGGGCTCTCTTGGCCCCTGGAGCCGGTGGCAGGGCACTATGGGAACTTCAGTGGAGCCAGGGCAGTGGCGGCTTGAGGGACCGCAGAGCAGAGTGCCCAGTGGGACCAAGGCAGCCTATGTCAGGGAAGCCATCGTGGAGAGCTGCTGCCACCTCCTGCCACCTGGGGGACCCATCCTGGGGCTGGGGGACCACAGTGCAGGGAGACTCCCCTTGGCCATCTGCCAGCCTGCAGTACTCCTGTAGGGTCAGGACAGGCTGGAGAGCACACGGCAGGCCCAGTGGGGGACAGGGGACTGGCAGGGAGGGGGCTCCTGATGGGCTCTGGGAGCTCATGTCCCGACAAGAAAAACTCTTCTCCACTGGAGCCTTTGGGGGCCTTTCTGCTCCTTGTAACCCAGAAATCCCAGCAAAGAGAAAAGAAACCCACCCGAGACCCCGACTGTGGCCCAGCCTCACAGACAGCCACCAGGCCTCAGGGACAGGGTGGGGGATTGAGGATGGGGCCCAGAAAGCAGACAGGCCCCAAGGCCTCGGGCTGTCCACTGAGGGCCAACAGAGCCCATGCAGGTCCTGCAGGGTCACCACCCTGAACTGCGTGGCTGCCTATACCTCACCCTCAGTCTTGGGGAGGTGTCACCCCCTGAGGCCCCCACCCAGAGCCCACTCCCAGCCCAGCCTGGTCTGTGGCTGTCTCTGCCCCCCATGCCCCATCCCAGGCCCTGCAGCCGCCACTGAGGGCTGCTCAGAATGGCCTGGAGGCCGCACCTGTTCCCTGGAGGGACAGGCAGGGGCAGTGCCCTGACATCCGGGTGGGGGGACCTAAATGCCCAGGTGAGCGGGGCCCATGAGGGATGAGGGGGTCGCTGCCAGGCCCTGCATGGCCTCACCGAGAGGAAGGCGTGCACGACGTCGGCCTTGATGGAGCTCAGCGGCTTGTCCTTGATGACCACGAAGATCTGCTCCTCCTTCTCCAGGTTGATGAAGTTCCCAAACCAGGACTTCTTGGCCAGCCTGGGGAGTGGGGCAACGAGGTTACCATTGGTGTGCGGAGGCTCCTCTACACACCTGCCAGCTCCTCCAGGGCAGGGCCTCCCTCACCCTATGCCCTCCCACTGACACTGCCCTCACCCTGATCCCACCACTGTAACCTGACCCTAGCCCGCACCTAATCCCAGCACCTAACCCAGCCCAACCCTCTAACTCCCTCACCCAACCCCACTGCCCTCACCCTGATCCCACCACTGTAACCTGACCCTAGCCCGCACCTAATCCCAGCACCCTAACCCAGCCCAACCCTCTAACACCCTCACCCAACCCCACTGCCCTCACCCTGACCCCACCACTCTAACACGATCCGAGCCCTAATCCTAACTTTTGCCATCCTAACCCTAACCCCCAACTGCAACTCTCTCACCTTAACCCCACCACACTAACCCTAATCCTGACCCTGAAGCTCTAAGCAGGTCCCCCTCTGGGCTCCCCCGGGGATATGCGCAGGTAGTTTGCTGGAAACCAGCCGGGAAGGAGAGGAAAAGGCCGTGGGGGTGCTCAGGCCTTGTGCTCTGGGTCACTAAGCGGGGGGCTGACGTGCTCTGCAGCAGTCCTGCAGCATCTGGAGCGGGGCCCTGCCTGGTGCGGGGAGCCATGGAACCTTCCTCAGGTGTCAAGGGCACAGATAACGCACAGAGAACAGGGCTATGTGCCCCTCCTACCCGGGGCAGCCTCGGCACCCCCAGGCCACCCTCCCATCCCCTCCTCAGGACAGGTGGCCGCGTGGCCATCTGCAGCCGCTGCTCCTGCCTGGGTTGGCTGCTCTCTGCTCTGTAGACAGAGGTCACTCCCAGATCTGCAGCATCAGTTGGGGAAGGGCCTGCCCAGGGCTCCCCATAGCCACACAGACCCTCAACTCCAGATGTTGCCGCCGCCATGGGCTGTCCCCACCCAGGCCCGGTGCGACGTTTCAGCCTCACTGTAGGATTCACCTTCTTTGGCTTGACACTGCGCCCAGTGTGAGCCGGCCTGCCCGCCCCAGTGCTGCCAGCTGGCCTCGCTGCCCAGCCTGCAGGCCCCGGCCATCCCGGCCCACCGCGCCTCGGTCCTCACTCCACGCCCCGTCCTTCGGCTCGCCACCTCTCCTAGGTCAGAGGTGGAGCTGGACACACCCGCAGGCTGCACCCTGGAGTCACACCTGTGTGGGCCCCTCCCCTGAGAGTGGCTTCGAAGCAGGAGGCTACGCAGGGGCAGAGGCGCAGGGCCGCCCTCCTGTTGGCAGGCTCCCCACGACAGCAGGGGACTTGAATCCCGCCCCCAGCCATGAGCTCTGAAGTGGATCCTTCCACAGTCCAGCCTTGAGGTGACCCCGCTGGCCGACACTTTGATGTCAGTGAAGTCATGTCACGTCCTGCCCTGTAGACACGGGGAGATGCGAGCGTGTGCTGGGCATGCCATGAGCGCTGGAGTTTCTTCCGCAGCAGGTGCTGCCCGAGCAGGTGGCCTCTCTGTCACCTCCCCTGAAGCCACACCGTGACCAAAGCTCCACCAAATGCACGCGATTGGGGCTGGACCTGCAGAGAGGCAGGGCTGGGAGGAGGTGGTCGCAGCAGCCGTGTCTGGGGCCTGGGGCCAGGGCTTGCAGCCGGGACAGGGGCCACGGGGTCTGCACTCAGTGGTGCCCTGGCTGTGACTCCTCTTCTCCTGCCTGTTTCTGGAGCTGGTTCTCCAGCCACTGTGGCCTCCCCACCAGCCCCACTGTGCTTCTGTCGTGGGCGCTGGCCTCTGGTGGCCCAGGAGTCCTGACGGCAGAGGGGATGGACCCAGCGGTCACTCGGTCATCTCTGCTCTTCTCTCCACGTCCTCCCACTCTTGGCCGTGGCCTCTGTGCTGCGTTTGAAGCTGCCAAGGGCAGGCTCGCGCCCCCGGGAGGGTGCCCGTGCCGGGCCTGGAGCTGACCGACTAGAGTGGCCGGGCAGTTGGAAGCAGACGGGGTTTCTGCAAGCTCCTCCCCCCACGGAGAAGACACAAGACAAACAATAAAAACCCGGCACTCGTACTTGGGACCTGGTGGCGTCGCAAATGAAAAAAAAAAAAATTCCGTGTTGAAGGAAGGTGGATGAGATGGAGAGGCCGGGAGGGCGTGTGGCGCCGGGGCCCCATGTGCCCACGGCTAGAACCAGTCCCGCTGTCACAGTGAAGGATTCTCAGACGAGATCAACACTCGGATAGTGCCTGGAGAGAAGCGGACGAGCCTCCAAAACGGCAGCGGGTCTCATCCAAACGCTGGAGGCCTCGAGGGAAAGTCCTCCTCAGGACGACAACACGGAAACCCTCACCTGAACCTCCGGCCTGCCAGCCCTGCAAACCTTGGACAGTCGCTTGAGCCAGTTCCTGGAAACGAGTCCCCGTGCCGTGTACACGCACCCGACTGCTTCTGTTTCTCCGGAGGACCCCGACTGACACACGTGGGCACAGTGGGGAGGGAACCCCGGGCCCCGTGAGCAGGCCCTCGGTAAGGAGGTGGTGTTGGTGCAGGGACCCTACCCTGAGCCTCCATGGCTGTCACGTCTGTGCTGGATCCTGGGGAGGGGGACGAGGCCCGCAAAGGGTCTCAGGAGTGGGGAGAGAGGCAAGAGGTGCTCGTCCCGCACCGAGGTCAAGCCACGTGACCTGTTTCCCCAACTCTTCCGAAAAATGTCACCATCACAAGGACGTTTACAAAAGCTTTTGATAGCAGCAGAAGCTGAACCTAAGGGCCTAACAATAGGACTAGGAAGTGTCCCTGAACCCAGCGTCTCTGGACTTGCTGTGACATGCCACCAGCACCCGCTGGGATGGTGCCCTCAGCCTGGCATGGGAGCCTGACTTGGTGGCGTCGGGTCTGCACTGCAGATGCTGGTCCTGGTGGATTCAGCATGGAGCAGGTGGTTTCTAGGGGACTCCCTGGTCGAGAGCCAGCAACATGACAGAGGCCACTCTCTCGCTCAGTCAAGGACAACTGGCTAGTGGCTGTTTGCAGAGCCACCTGCGTGAGGTCCCGGTGCCTGTAGCGCTCGCTCTCCCTGTAGCTCCCTGCACAGGGCCCATGCTGTGTTTATGTGTGCACCATCAGCAGCCACGACACTGCCCAGTGGCAGACTCTGGGCAGGGGTCTCTGCAGGTACATCTTCGCCCCCAGACGCCTCCACCAAGGCCACCCTCTTGGCACATGTGCTCCTGCCAGCCCTGTGTCCCGCAGCTGTCCCCCTCTCCTCAGCACAGGCTGCGACTGCTCCTGGAGACCTGCCCATCCTAGGAGCCCCCATCTCTGCCCCTTGGAGCCCAGGCCTGTAACGGCTCTGCCCCGCACACCCCCAGCAGCTTCTGAACTGAGCTGGGCACCTCTCCTGGCTGGCTTCCCTATGCGGCTGGGTACTTGATGTTCACAGAGAACCAGTGAGCTGAGACAGCCCTGTCCGTGGCAGGGTGGGGACAGGAGGTACCCAGGAAGACAGGCAGAAGGCCACGTGGAGTGGGGCCACACCTGCCACGTGGGAAGGTTCCCCCCTCGCCCCTCCCCTGGCCAGCCTGGTGTTCAGGCACCAGGAGGCCTCAAGCAGGGCCACTTACTCTGGGGATGACTCTGGGGTCAGGTTGGACATCTCCTCCGGCGTTGGCACTGCGCACAGGGATGGACAGGGAGAGGAGGCTCGGTGACCCTCTACCCTTCCCCTGCCACGGTCACCCTGCACCAGGGCTGGGGTCTACAGGGGCCACCCCCACACTGGGACAGCCCTCTAGGGCACAAGTCCACCCAGCTCCTGGCCTCTGAGTGCATAAGTGCAGGCTGTGTGGGGCTGTCCCAGAGTCTGGGGCTAAGGGAGGGCCTGCCTCCTCTGGTGTCCTGCCAGCTCCAGACATGCTGGGCAGAGCCTTACGGCCCTGGTCCTGTGGGCCTTGTGGCCATCAGTGCCCACACAGCGGTGGGTGCTTCTCTCTGGGGCTCAGGCAGCCCACCAGGGTGGGCAGACCCAGGGACACATGGCAGACAGAGACGCTGACTGCCTGTTCAGGCCTCGCTGGACACGGACTGCTGCCCACTGCCTTTGGCAGAAAAGCCATCCGGGGCAGGAGGGAACAGAGAGTGACTGGGGGAGCAGCAAGGGAGGGGACAGGGTGGACACCCCGTGCAGCTCGCGAGTCTGCCCGCTGCATGCAGATGCCAGGCACCTGGCCGGGCAGGGTCCTCCCCTGGCGGCCCCGCCCCCACCTGGCGCTGCTCGCGCTCTGGGCAGGAGCCCACCTTGCAGTTTCCGGCGGTGGAAGCGGGGGGAGCCCAGGAAGCTGTTCTTGATGGAGTTGAGCCGCGTCCTCCAGGGCACCCCTCCCACGCTGGGGCTGGATGGTGGCGTGGGGGTGGGTGTGCCGGCTGGGCTCTCCTTTGGCGTGTGGACGGGCGTCCCCTTGGGGGTAGGGAGGGGACTGCCCCTCGGTGAGGGGTGAGGGGTCACCTGTATGGTGGGCACAGATTTGGTGTTTGGTTCAGTCCCAGGGGGCGGGCGCTGGGTGGGGGCCAGCAGGGCAGGTGGGCCCGGGGGCAGGGCCAGCTGGGGAAGGAGGCCGGTGATGGGAGGCCGGGCCTGGGTGCCGGCTGGGAGCGGGTTGGACTTGGTGCCGTGCAGCGGCTTGTCGGTCAGCTTGGCCTTGCATGGCAAGGTCTGGGTCTTGGGGTTGGGCCGCTGGGCGGCCTGTGCAGGGAGGACGTGTCCCGGCCGTGAGGCGCTCTGACAAGCTTCGGGCTCCGTGGAGGTGGCCAGGGGGCCAGCCAGGAAGGGGAGCTCGAGGGCAGGGGGGGGCAGGACAAACTTTCTAATAGGCTGCGGGGGTGGGGGAGCAGAGAGCGACAGAGCCGACAGCCACGCATGCACCCAGCCCCCCCATGCACACACAGCGCCGGGAGGACCCAAGGCAGGACCCGCGGGGAGGCAGGCGTGGGGGAGGGTTTGCCACAGAGAAACGAAGGACGCACAGACGACAAACAGGACAAACAGAAACGTGCAGTTAGCGAAGCGGCCGTGCCGCCAGCAGCCACGTGCGCGGGGTGGGGCTGCTCTCCCCCCGCCCCCCGCCCTGGCACTCTGGCTGGTGAGGGGGGGGACTTTGTTTCTGGGACGCCAGCCCCCTGGCCTGAGATGGGGCAGGGGGCCACTCACCCGGGGGCTGCTAAGTGGGCTCGTGGAAAGGCCTGAGGACGCTCCACTGATAGACCGAGACCTGGGGCGACAAGGCACAGAGTGGGGACTCAGCAGGGGGTGGGTAGCGGGCAGCGGGCTCCTGGCTCTTCTCTACCCAGTGGACCCGCCAAAGCCCTGGAACCCAAGGAGGGTCCCTGGACACCCAGCCACGCCCAGGGCTGTCTTGCTGATCCTGCCCCCAGCCCCTCAGGGCCTCCAGTGGCCCAACGTGCAGCCGGGGTCCTGGGGCTTCTCCCCACGTGCGGGAGTTGCCCCGTGTCAGCAGCCCCAGGCCCAGCGTGGGGTGCGGAACCCAGGGGCCACGCAAAGGTCTGTCAGGGGACAAGATGGAGGCTTCCTGTGGACTAGGTCCAGCCCTGTCTACCCCGGGCCTCCAGCAGCTGGGTCACTTCTCCAGGCCTCTAGCTGCCTGAGCCTGGCCCGCCCCCCGGGCTGAGCTGTCACAGGGGCTGGTACACAGGCCACCAGCTGGGCATGTCCACAGCTGCCCACAACCCTCCCTTGCTCACACTGGGAGGGCCTAGGCGCGGCCAGGCTGGGTGGGCGCAGGCAGGGGCAGTGGGGCCTTGTGTCCCACCACTGCCCACCTTGGCCAAGACCTGGCCTGGGTGTGGCCAGAGGCAGGCACAGCCAGGCAGCTGGGGAGGAGCCAGCAGCAAGTGCCACCTTCAGCCACAGCCCAGGGGAGGACGCACGGACGTCCGCTCACCCCTGGGCAGCAGCACCTGCTGTCCTTAGAGGGAGGGACCGGGTGGGGCATGGCTGAGGCAGCAGCACAGCAGAGAGGAGGACAGAAGAGAACGAAAGACTGTCCGGGCTGCCGGCCCAGCCTGCCCGCCACCACCTGGCCAGGCCACTGGGGTCTCACAGCCCACACCACACCCAGCTGCTTGGCCTTAGCGCGAGCTGTAGGGGCTGGCGCCCTGGGGTGCACTTGCCACTTGCCTGGCTCCTGGCTGGTTCTGGCACCTGTGGGCTGGAACCCCTGGCAACCCCACCAGACACAGCCAGGACAGCACCTGGGGGTCAGGGTTGGGCCCAAAGCTTCCAGGTGCTGAGTGGGGATCAGGCCCTAGAAGGGGCCACAGGGAGGTGGCGGCTACCCTGCAGGAGGCAGCAGCACGGGGAGGCTCAGGGCCCAGGACCTCCCATTGAGCTGCCAGGAGCTCGTCACTCAGCACAAGGAAAGCAGAAAAGAAAGAGCTGGAGGACTGGAGCAGGTGGGAGGCTGTGTCACCACCCTCCTATCTGGCCACTCTGAGCTGCCACTGCCCAGGGCAGGAAAGACGGTACCAGCCCTGAGGGCAGGCAGGGCAGGTGAGGGATAAGGGGCAGGGGGAGGGCACAGGCAGGTGTGCCTGGGGTGGGGTGTGGGCAGCAGCTCTGCAGGTGCAGCAGCGTCCACCCAGGGGCTGGGGTTCGTAAGACCGGGTGCCTGCAGAGGCCCCTCTGACCACAGCGCCTCCTGCCACCTCTTGGGCACCTGCAGATGGGGCTGATCCGTTGCAACTCTGGCCCCTGGCGACCCAGCACCCCAGGCCGCTGAGGCCTGCTGGACACAGGGCAACGGCCGGCAGGAGGGCTCCAGGGCAGGGAGAGCATGATGGTCTCCCAGCCCCGGCCTGTGTGAGCTGCACGAGGCCCCCTTGCTCGGGCTGGCTGCCACCAGGCTGCCATCTGCCTGCCTGAGCTGCGGCAGGGACAGCGTCTTGGGGCTGGGGGTGTGGGGACGGGTGGTCAGGGCGTATACCTGTCTTCTTTGCTGAATTGGGGATGGGCTTCAGCGATATCCAGGCTTTTACTGAACATTGCTTTACTACAGCAGGGACAAAGCGAGAAAACAGAGTTACTGACTCGGTCACACGAGGACGTGGTCAGCTGCTGGGCCACGCCGGGCGAGATCTCTACACAGCTCCAAGGCCAAGGCACAGCCCACCTAACCCAGGCCAGTGCACAGAGACGGCAAGGCAGCTGGGCAGGAGGGTGGCAGGGCCGCAGTGAGTCTGCCCCAGGTGACCTGTTGGGCAGGGTAGCCTGGCCAGGCCCTGGAGGATGCCCTGTACCACTGCCAGCCCCAGGACCCCTCTAGCCCCAGCCAGTGGCCCCGCTGTGGCCCAGTGCCAAGTGACCTGCTGAGTGCAGGTGGCCAAGTCAGGAGCAGAGGAGGATGGGGTCATGCCAGGACAAAAGGCCTTCTGGAGACCCCTAGGGATGGTCCACACCGACCCATCCCAGCAGCCCTGCCCCCTGGGCAGCCAGGCCCTGAAAGCTGTAGCAGACGCCAAGGTCTGCGTCAGCGACCAAGGTGAGGGAGGGTGGGGCTCGACCTTGAGAGACCCCACTCAGCACCAAGGGTGTGCCCAGGGCCTTGGTGGCCAGTCCGACCAGGACCAGCAGAGGCTCTGCAGCACCTGGGTACCCTTCCTCCCTGCAGGGATTGTACCGAGTCAGGCCAGACCTGCTCACCATTCCTCCAGAATTCCACATCACTGCCCACACCCACAGCACTGGTCTCCCTGAGATGGCCCCAGCATCAGGTAGGAATGAGCATGTGGGCTGGTGGCTCTTCCCATGGTTTGACCACATCAAAACCCAGCCCAGTTCAGCCCAACTCAGCCCGGCCTGGTTCAGTCCAGCCCAGTCCAGCTCAGTCCAGCCCAGCCTGGCTTAGCCAGCTCAGAGCAGCTCAGCCCAGCCCAGCTCATTACAGCTCAGCCCAGGGCAGGCCGGTCCAGGGCAGTCCAGCTCAACCCAGCCCAGCCCATCCCAGCTCAGTCTAGCCCAGCTCAGCCCAGCCCAGCTCACTCCAGTCTAGCCCAGGGCAGGCCGGTCCAGGGCAGTCCAGCCCAGCTCAGCTCAGTGCTGCCCAATCCAGCCCAGTCCAGTTCAGCCCAGCCCAGTTCACTCCAGCTCAGCTTAGGGCAGGCCAGTCCAGCTCAACCCAGCCCAGCCCAGCACAACTTAGTCCAGTCTAGTCCAGCCCAGCCCAACCCTGTCTAGCCCAGTCCAGCCCAGCCCTGCCCAGCCCAGCTGAGTCCAGTTCAGCCCCATGCAGTCCAGCCCAGCCCAATCCCGTCTAGCCCAGTCCAGCCCAGTTCTGTCCAGCCCAGCCCTGCCCAGCCCAGCTGAGTCCAGTTCAGCCCCATGCAGTCCAGCCCAGCCCAGCCCAGGTCTGTCTAGCCCAGCCAAGTCCAGCCCAGCCCAGCTCAGCTCCGTGCAGTCCAGCCCAGCCCAGCTCAGCCCAGCTCAGCCTAGGCCTGTCCAGCCCAGCCCAGCACAGCCCAGCCCTGTCCAGCCCAGCCAAGTCCAGCTTGGCCCCGTGCAGTCCAGCCCAACCCAGCTCAGCCCAGCCCAGTCCAGCCCAGTCTGGTCCGGCCCAGCAGAGTCCAGTCCAGCCCAGCTCAGCTCAGTCCAGCTCAGCCCCATGCAGTCCAGCCCTACCCTGTGGCCTCAGCCCAGAGCCAAGCCAGCCTGTGAAGAGGGCCGCCGCCTCCGCCAGGGCACCGGAGAGGCAGCGGGCCGAGTGCACACACACCTCTGGCCGTGCTGGGCCATCTCGATGGCGCGCCGTGCAGGCACCGGGGAGCCGCCGTCAGTCACGCTGAGCACCTCCATGGACTTGCGCTCGGGCCGCCGCTTGCCGTGCCGGTTGAGCATTGGGGAGTCCACACGCTTCCGGGGAGGGTCTGTGAGCAGACCAAGGTCAAGGCCAGGCAGCCCGCTGGGCCCCGGAGGAAGCATGGGCTGGGCCTGAGGCCACCCTTGGCCCGTGTACCTATTTCGTTCCTGGGGGGCAGGTCCTCGTCCTCATGGCTGGGGTACCTTTCCTTCCGGTCCAGGAGGAGGAAGTAGATCATCTTCTCCTGGTTCTCCCTGCAGCGGGCGAGAGGTGCCAGCAGGGTTGGCCCCGCCGCGAGTCCGCTCCCGAGGCCGGGTCCCCGCACCGGCCGCGCCCCCCGCCGCCTCCTGCGTGCAGCCTGCCCATCGGGAACCTACTCCTCGGACAGCAGGTCCTGCAGCAGCTTGTTGCGGTCCCGGAAGCAGCCCAGCGAGTGCATGCTGTCCAGCACGCCGGGGTCGATGTCCTCCAGGCTGGGCAGCGAGCGGATCTGCACCTTGCGGGGAACGGGCTGCTCTGGCTCAGGCTCGTTCTTGCCGCCTCTGTGGGCGACATGGCATCCGCCTGGTCACTCCCCTCCGGCTGCCCAAAGCTCCTTCACCCCAACCGAGGCGGCCGGAGGGTGGGAGGCGGCCTGCCCTCGGGGTCCCTGAGTCCTGCTGCTGTCCCTGTGCCCAGCCCCTGCGGCCTCCTGCGTCCTGCCCGCACCCAGAGCAGGCGTGGCCGAGAGCCCAGAGCCCAGAGCCCCAGCCGGGCAGGGCTGCGCGGGCAGCGCCCTCCCCCCGCCTTTCCTAGCAGGCCCTGCAGGCCGCAGCGACAGGCAAAGCAGGTGATTAGTGGGTGGAAAAGCTACTTACATATACCATATGTGTTTCTGAATGTGCTCTAGCTACAAGAGAGAGAAACAGGGAGTTAGTACGGAGGAGGCAGGACAGAGCCCACGTTAGGCGAGACGGAGAAGGTGGGGTGTGGGCGCGGAGAGAGCAGGAGCGTGGGGCCGCGGAAGTAGGGGAGGGGCTGCGTTCCCAGAGGCTGCAGGCGGCACCCCTGCCCTGCGAGGAAAAGCAAACCTAGAGGAGGAAAGGCGATGGGGAGGTGGGGGCTCCAGGCAGGGCAGGGGCCTGGGTAGTGGTGGAGGATGGAGAGGCAGGGAAGCTGAGCAGAGGCCCCCAGGTCGCCTGTGCTGCCTGGGCCAGGCCCTAGGAAGGAGCCCGAAGGCAGGAGAAGGGGGAAGCAGCCCTGAAGGAGCAGAAGCCGGGAGGGCCGCCCCCTGCGCGGCACGGGGGGGCCTGGGTGCAGGCAGGAGCAGGAGGCTGGGAGGGCTACACGGGCACCGTGGCCATTCCCTCCTCCCTGACTCAGGGACAGCTTGGTTGGGGGGTGAGAGCTGGGGGACCACTGTCCAGGAATGGCAGCCTGAGGGAATCTTGCTCCCTGCACGTGGGCATGTGCTGCCCTGGCCCCTTGCTTGCCCGCAGCTGATGCAGTTACCTTTGAAGGACTGTTCCCACTAACTGGGGTGTGCCCAGAGTGTCCCAGGCAGGATAGTGGTAAAGGGGACACCTGCCCTTCAGGTACACTAATTCTCCTGTACCACACTCACAGGCACAGGCCTGCCCCCACCTGTGCACACCCACACACCTGGGCACACACACCTGTGCACATGCCCACACACTCAGGCACATATACACACACACCTGTGCACACAGCCACATCACACCCGTGCACACACATACGCACACAGCCACACATACCCAAGCACACACCTGTGCACACAGCCCCATCACACCTGTGCACACAGCTCCACACCCAGGCACACACCTGTGCACACAGCCCCATCACACCTGTGCACATCACAGCTGTGCACCCAGCCCCCCACACTGAGGAACACACCCGTGCACCCAGCCACATCACACCTGTGCACATCACACCTGCGCACAGCCCCACACACCCAGGCACACTCCTATGCACACAGCCACATCACACGTGTGCACACAGCCACATCACACCTGCGCACACAGCCCCACACACCCAGCACACACCTGTGCACACCGCGCCCACCAGCACTCCTAGCACCACCGCGCAGACGCAGGCGGGGCCCCCATCCGCACTCCCAGAAGCCCTGCCCCTGGCAAACGCTTCTCCCTGGAGCTGCCAAGAGGCAGCCACCGAGACCAACGTGGGGCCCGATCGATCTGGGGGTGCAGCGGGCTTCGCCGTCATCATGGGAGGGGGCCCTTGGGGACAGTGTGGGTGGTGGGGCGGGGGCCTTGGGGACAGCGTGGGGCAGAGGCGGGGCCCTTGGGGACAGTGTGGGTGGTGGGGCGGGGGCCTTGGGGACAGCGTGG